TTCTACCAGGGGAAGTCTGGGGCAGCAGGTGAGCAGGGTTTGCTGCTAGGAGGAAGCAGCTTTCTCATCCCTATGCAGCCTCGGTTGGACAGCTGCCTCCAACCTCCTTTTCTTAGCTTTCAGGCTCAAAGTGAGACTATGTCGTAGCCTTGGGAAATGTTCTCGCCATACCTTCCCACTCAAGTAGAAGGGGCAGAGAGAAAAGGGAGACACGCTCTGAGCTGGAACACAATGCCTTTGTGTATTGGTGCCTCTCCCTCTAGGAGAGAGTTGGAGTCCACAGAGGAATGGCTTTGCCCAGGAGAAAAGTAGGGGATAACGACGGGAAATTGGTGAGGGGGTGCTGAGGGAGCGGTCCCTCCCACTCACTGTAGATGTCTCCTCTGCTGTTAGAACCTCAAGAGTAGGTACTTTAACTGCAAGGGAACAGGTCTTTCGGAGTTTGTGTACTGGGAAAAAGGCAGCCAGCTTGATGGTCAGACTTGGAGTGCCAGTGATTACCCTCCTCCCACAGCCTCAGCCCAAGGCCCAGCCCACACATGCAGGGTCCAGAGACTTATGGAGAGTATGGGCTAGAAGCATATACTGAAGCTGTCTTCTGATCTCCTCATTGTCTGCAGGCAGAACTAACTGACCTCTTCCTTCTAGTCCTCACCCCTCCTGGGTTTCATATGGTCCAGATGCAGGTAGAGACCAATGGGAGACTAACCAGCTGCTATTGGGACCTGTCCCATCTGTCAGTCACCTGAGGCCCATGAATGTCCCTATCTGACCACAAGGATATATATACTGAGGTCAGAGTTGTGTCCTTTAGCCAGAAAAAGCAGTTGGAACTTTGGAAACTGAAGGGCGTGGTTGTTTAATCGTTTTCTTTTTCTCATGTCCAGAATGCCTCCTGACCAGTCAGTCATAGCCTGACAGACATACTTAGGGTTCAGAGAAGCAGGTGGGATGGGCTTTAGGCAATGGCCGCTTTCTTGGGAGGTGCTGGAATGAGCTTAAGTCCAGAAGTGGGACTGTGGAGGACACAGGAGGCCTTGCGTTTCTGAGTAATGTGGGAGGTCGAGGTAAGAGGTCACTCAACTGGAGGTCACTCCAAGCCCCTGCCTCACTGTCTGCAAGCTGGATGAGGGCCACTTCCCTGTGTTCAGCCTGTTTGACTTCCTACTGTAGTTTCTTCCAACACACAAAGATTAGACGGAGAAACGTTGGTTAGTGTGACCTGAGTCACATTGGCTTGGAGACCAGCATAGCTGCTCCCAGCTCCTCATAGATGGGGAGTGTTGGGGGCCTTCCAGAGAGCTGGGCTGGCCGCAGACAAATGAGTCCATTGGCATTCTGTACCCAGTGGCACGAACACAATGATTGATGAGGCGAGAGTCTGGGGAGTAGGAAGCGTGGATCAATCTGGCTCGCTTTGTCACTAACAGGCTGAGCGCTTGGCAGGCAGCAGGGGTTAATGCCTGGTGTGTGCGTGTGCTACTCTGGAGATAGAGCTGTTTAAGCTCACTGTGCAGGTCTGCTGAGAGGCCCTCCTAAGACAGTAGCAGACTGGTTGCAAGCCGCAGGCGTCCATGCTTTAACTGTGTGAGGATCTGAAGGGAGAAAGCCTCCAGTTCATCCTTGTTTAGGCTTCTAGCTTGTGAATCCAGCTGTACCACTGTTCCACCTTCTGCACAGAGCGGCTACTCTTATTTGGAGGAGTGTGTTTGTGAGGTCTCGGGAGGCCTCAGTTGGCTTCAAATTGTCTATAAAGTATAGGGTGGCTTTGAACTCCTTATCCTCCTGCCTCCACCCGCTAAGTACTAGGATCTTTTTATTATTATTATTACTATTACTACTACTATTTTTTCTCAAGGCAGGGTTTCTCTGTGTCGCTCTGCCTCTCCTGGAACTCACTCTGTAGACCAGGCTGCCCTCAAACTCAGATCCATCTGCTTCTGCTTCCTGAGTGCCAGGATTAAAGGTGTGTACCACCACTGCCTGGCTAAGTGCTGGGATCTAATGTGTGTACCAAAATCCCTGGCTTAGGAGTTTCTCCTGTTCAGAATTGAGTAAGGGACAGACTCAGAATCATTCAGCTCTGTTCAGAGTACCCTGGGCCACCTTGGAGTTGTTCTTCCAGCAAGCCAGGCTGGGCTGCAGTAGCTTTCCCAGTTCCCAGAGAAGCCCAGCAGGGCAGCACATGCAGGTACTCTGATCTGATCTGTTCAGCTCTGGGCTTTCCATATTCATCACGTGTTCTAATAGACCTGCTGCATCCATCTCGTGATAGGCAGAGGCTTGTACTCAGGTGGCAACAGCAATTCATGGAACTTTCTTTAAAGGAAAAAAAAAAACTATGTGAATGGGTGTCTTTCTCTCTTAGCGTTTTTCTCTCTCTTTCTTTCTTTGAGGGAGGCAGGGTTTGGTTTCTCTGTGTCTCTGTTTGTCCTGGAACTTGCTCCGTAGACCAGGCTAGCCTCGAACTCACAGAGATCCACCTATTTCTGTTTCCTGAGTGCTGAGATTAAAGGCATGCGCCACCACTGCCCAGAAAACTTGGCTTTCTAACAGAGAGGTGAGGACAGTGACTACAAGGAAACTACTTACCTCTTCTTAGGAGTCCAGATGAGTCTTCTCTCTGCATCACTTCTATCTGTCAGTTGGGAAGGGAGCCCTGCTAGGCAATGTGAATCAGCAGGTGTGTGTCTTTGTTAAGTGGCCATGTTCCTACCTGGAATGTGGACTGTTGTAAGGTGTGCCGAGTACCATGGAGAGCATGTTCAGAGGTTCCCCAAGGTAAAGGTGCCATGGAGTAGGACAGACAGCCTTCACATAGCAGTGAAGAGAGCAGTGGTGTCCTGGCATCATAGTAGAGCCCATATAGCAGAACAGGGAATTACCTGGCGGCCTACCCTTGAAGGAGCATCAGAACACTTTCTAGAAGCTCTCTTGGGAAGTTCAGGGGCCCAGAGGCTGGGTTCCATGGCCTGAAGCAGCTTTCCCAGAGGGTACCCATTAGACAGCATGTGATGACTCAACCACCTGAACCTACTCAGTGCCTCCTGTGTGAGCTGCACCGAGCACTAAGGCTCAGTACATCGAACGGTAATAATCAACTTGGAACTCAGAGACTGGAATAATTGTAAGCACTGGAGGCTAGGAGAGCACTGAAGGAAATGTCCTTTCCCCTAAGAATTTAACTTCATCCAGGTAAAGACAAGTTAGGGAGGCTGAGAGCCAGCATTGACAGCTGCTTTGCGAATGGCTAAGACAAGGCAACTCTGGTTACCTGTAGCAGACCAGGCTTTTAGGAGAGCTCCGTAAGGACAGAAATGGACTAGAAGGAGGCTGGCACATAATACTTAAGGACTTGTTTGTTTCTTTGTTTGAGAGAGGCTTTCACTATGTAGGCTATATTGGCCTAGAGCTCACAGGTGTCTGCCATCCTCTGTCTCCCAAATGCTGAGATTAAAGGCAGGTACCATTACACCTGGTTAATGTCAGGGGCTTTTGTGGCTCAAAGAAGTTATACAAAACTTGTCGCACAATTAATAAAAACCCAAAGACAGGAATTGGGGCTCGGCCTGAAGGTCAGGAAAGCAGAACAGCCAGCCGCCGACTCTTACCCTCTACCTCAGTTCGTAATGGTGATCCTGCCTCCAGGAATCTCAGGATGAGACTGTATGTGAGAGCTGTTTCCTCCTGTCTTATGTTCCTCTCTAGTGCTGGGATTAAAGGCATGCACCACAACCTCCTGGTTTCTGTGACAAACTAATGTGGCTACTGGGATTAAAGGTGTGTGTTACACTGGGTGGTGGTGGGCACATCTTTAATCCCAGCACTTGGGAAGCAGAGGGAAAAAAGGTGTGTGTCCCCACTGCCTGGTCTGTCAGGCTGACCAGTGCAGTTGTTTTACTCTCTGAACTTCAGGGAAGCAGTATTTATTAAGATAACAAATGAAATATCACTACACAAACTCGACAGAGTCTCTGAGAAGGGTAATCATTTTTATCTGGCTCCAGAAGTCCCTACCCTGTCACCAAACAGAAATATAAATGCACTAAATAGTTTTTTCCTCCTGGAGCCTGAATGCTGATGGGGAGCTCCTCGGAAGTTAGAAGGTGAGACCCTCTCAGTAAGGACTGTAAAATTTCCCTCTACTCAATATGGTCCAGACAGATGGTTGGTGGGGTTTAGCCATGGTGAGAAAATGTGGATCAGTTTCTACAAAAATCTAGAGTTGGAGAGATGGCCCAGCAGTTAAGAGTTGTCCTTGCAAAGGACCCGCAGAGGGCTCACAGCTGTCTGAAACTCCAGTCCGTCTGTCTTCCGTGGGTACTTGCATGTGTGTAGTGGGTATATATACACTCAGGTACACAGGTATAAAAATTAAATTAAAGAAAAAAGTCTTTAATTCCAGCACTCAGGGAGGCAGAGGCAAGCAGATTTCTGTGAGTTCGAAGCCAGCCTGATCTACAGAGTAAGTTTTAGGACAGCCAGAGCTACACAGAGAAACAAAAAACAAAACAAACAAACAAAAATCTTGCAGCCAGATGTGGTGGTACATGCCTTTACTATCACAACTCAGGAAGAAGAGACAGGTGGATCCCTGTGACTTACAGACTTACAGACAAGCCTGGTCTACATTTTTAGTTCCAGGACAGCCAGAGCTATACAGAGAGACACTGTTTAAAAAATAAAAAATAAAAAAAAAAGTCCCTTGGGTGGGTTAGGGGTCTTGGCATGGTCCACCCCCTTTAGTTAGGCTTTGGGTGCAGAGCACTTAAATTGTTTCCCAGGATAGATGATGGATCCTTTTCCTCCTTGTCAGACTCATGAGCAAACAGCGCCTGCTCAGTAACCTATGTCAGGTTACTTGAGGGGAAGGCCAGAGGAGAGGTGCTGCGTCTCTAGACTGCACAGATGCTGGGTGGATCCTAGTGCTGTGGAGGTATCATTCAGATGGGAGGGCAGCATCGAGTCCTCTCACACTAATGCTTGTCCTTGGCTTCTAGCCCTGGCCTAGTGTATCTAACCTGGCCAAGGACTTCATTGACCGCCTGCTGACAGTGGACCCTGGAGCACGGATGACTGCACTGCAGGCCCTGAGACACCCATGGGTAGTAAGCATGGCAGCCTCTTCGTCCATGAAGAATCTGCATCGATCCATCTCCCAGAATCTCCTCAAGCGTGCTTCTTCTCGTTGCCAGAGCACCAAATCTTCCCAGTCCACACGTTCCAGCCGCTCCACGCGCTCCAACAAGTCCCGCCGTGTTCGGGAGCGTGAACTGCGGGAGCTCAACCTGCGCTATCAGCAGCAGTATAATGGCTGAGCCACCAGCTGTGACATGGACACACTGTTGTCTCCTCCTGAACACTCTCTGCTTTGTCACCTGGGCCCAATGTCTTCTCTGTACCCAGGCATCATGACCAGCAGTATATAGCTGGGCACGTCTGGGCCTAGCTCTTCTCTGTGCCTTTAGTAGCCCCTACCTCCTTATGGGCCTGGGCCTGTTATAATGGGATGGTGGCCCAGGACCATCTAACCTGAGAACCTGGTAGGCAGCTGCTGAGCTGGAAGAAAGGACAGGACCCAGTCCTCACAGATCTCCTTAATGTTTGCCTTTTTCTTAGACCAAAGGGGTCTATAGTGTTGGGTAGAAAGGGTCCTATGGCTCAGGACTCTTTGAATCCATTACTTTTATAACCCCCCTTTCTTCCACAAAGCATTGGTCTAGTTCCCATATCCTATGTCATACTAATCCTTAAGAGTATGCTCCAGTGGGAGGTCTAGCTTTTGCCATAGCTAGACTGCAAGTCCCGGGTGCCTCATGGGTGCCTTAGCCCAGTCAGATCCAAGCAACCCCACCATTTTCCCCAGCCAAGAGCAATATTTCTTCATGGTGCCACCAGGACCCCTTCTGGCCCCCAGACTTGCCTCGTGTCTCAGGCTCCTGCCTCTGCAGAGCCCATCATTGTCTCCCTCTCCTGCTTAGATGCCCATGTCATTCCCCAGCTGCCTCCTTCCCCACCTGGAGGGGTTAAATGGAGATCCACTGCTGCTACCTGGGGGATGGATGTGCATGAAGAGTTCTCCTCAGAATTCCATTGTCAACCCTTGTTCCACCCTTTGGTATTGTCCTTTGCTGGTTCCTTTCTAAAGCTGCCATGCCCTCTTTATAGCTTCATGATGGCGCCATCTAGTGTCTGGTCTAGGTATAGGTGGCCGGGGGAGGGGTGGTGACTGGTGCACACCCTTGCCACAGCCCTCCTAAAGGAAGAGGAAAGAAAGGAGTTGCTGAATTGGGGGAGAGTCCTGGGCTGCTCAACTCCCCTTCTGCTCAGCTTCTCCAAACCTCACCCTGGAACTTAGCCATACTGTGTTACCTGCCTCTGAACCCCGGGTGCCTTGGGTGCTGACCTTGCTGTAAGAGCTGGCCTTGCCCTGTCTGCCCTGTGCCCACCTCTTTTCATAGCATTAACTTTCGAGGCTGTCCCCACTGAGTCAAGCTGGAGGGAGCTCCTCTGGGAGGTAGGGTAGGGTTGCAGGGGCTGCTTTCCCAGAGAACTGAGCCGCAGCAGCTCCTATAGCTGGCATGGTCTCCCTACCACCACCACACTAGGCTGGAATCCAAGCTCCCTCCCTCTGTAGCTGCTTTCAGTGGGTAGGAAGGGGCCAGACAGAGCCTAGCTTGAGCCTTAGCTAGACTAAGAGCCTCTGTCGGCAGAAGGGTCTGACTCCCACACAACTCCTCTCAGTAGGCAGTCTTGGGCTAGGCCCTCTTTCTAAGTATGCCACCTCCATTGGGACACCAAACCAAAGAGACCACTGTGTGCCAAGTCAACTGTGCCTTATGTTCTCTCTCCTTATATCCTCTGGATAGGAGGCCCTGGAGGACTGAGCCTCACAGCCTCAGAACCCTCCACCTACCAGTTGCCCCAGAAATTTCTGGGGGTGTGAACCACTGGGGATTTAATTGTCCTTCTTGCCCAAAATAGGCCTGGTTGTGAGGAGAGGGCAGAGGGAGTTTGTGTCTTGGGCCTTTGATAGGTCCACCAGGCGTTCATGCCATGGACCGTGGATGGAGAATGTGCAGTTATTTATTTTGTGTACCCTGTAAGTGTATCTTCTGTATCCAATAAACAGGCTGCCATCCCCAGGGAAGGCTGCCATTTTCTTCTGATTACCATGACTGTGCCATGTGACTAGTGAATTGTTCAAAAAAGAGGAGTAGGGGCCACAGCCTGGGATGACAAAGTCCAGGTCAGGGGTAGAGCCCCCGAGAGCCTCTCCTTTCCACTAAACCAGGATGGAGGACAAGGCTACACAAGAGAACCGAGCCTGGTGTCTTTATTGAATTGGGATGGGGAAAGGATCTGCAGACAGTTTAGTTGTAGGCCATGACCTGGTTGATCCAGGTACTGAACTTGCTCACCCGGGCGTATACGGCTGGGGCTTGCACATTGCAGTTCTCAGTGCCCCAGGAGACAATGCCAATTAGCTTCCAGACATTTTCTTTATGGCAGACAAGGGGGCCTCCTGAGTCACCCTGAAAGGGAAGGAAAGGGGGAAAGTTGGGACGGCAGTTGAGGAAGTCTCCCATGGGACAGAACAGAGGGCAGGGTGCCCGTGCTTACCTGACACGAAGAGACACCCGAGGCACCCGCACAGATCATGGAGTCAGTAACACCCGAACCCCAGTACTGCCGGCACTGGTTCACAGTGACCAGGGGTAGAACTGCTTGCTGCAGACGTGCTGGTGTCACGTTGCCTGTGGGCCAGGAAAGGTGGTCAGGCTGGCCCAGCATGCTTCTTCCAGGCTCCCCTCGCTCTTACCCAGGTTCTTACCCACACCACTGGTGCGGCCCCAGCCAGTGGTGACACACTTGAGGCCTTCGGGCAGTCCCTCATTGGAGGAAGGCAGGCAGACCGGTGAGATTCGTGCTGTGTACTGGGCTGGTGAGGCGAGCTTCAGGAGGGTCACATCATTGTTCAGAGTGTTGGGGTCCCAGTTAGGGTGGGTGATGGCCTATGGAGCCAGGAGAGAGCCATGGGAAGCTGGAGCATGTGCAAGTACCCAAGGTTGGCGCCGAGGGGTAGGTCGGGGCATGCTGGAGTTTCTGTGTCCAAAGCAAACCGCCTGAAGCCCATTGTCCTTTGTACATGTGCAGCCAGGGACTTACCTTCGAGATGGAGAGCACTTGCACAGGCTCGGCATTGGAAGATCGGTCATATTCTCCCAAAACAACTAAGTGTCGTCCAGCACTGCAAGGATAATGGGAGTGGGTAGCTGCTAGGGGGTTTCAGAGGGGGCATCCAAGGGAAGGAAGTGTTGGGGACCGCAGGCCACCAGACCCTGAATTTCCTGTAAACAATTTGTTGTCCTCTGCTCTGAGCAGCCTGATGGCAGGGGAGTGGTTTCTGATTGGTCTGCAGCTGAAAGATCTTGAGAGCTGGGGTGTGATCAGAGCACTATATAAGCTGCCCCTGAACACAATAAGGGGGCATTTTTGGAGAATCCAAGGATGACCTCTGTCTCTGTGTATTTGTGTGTTTCAATCTCCAGCCCCTTGCCTGGCTCGCGGACTGTCCCGCAGTATGCCTCAGGCGTAGTACAGGTGCTACAGGACTGTAGTATGTGAGTAGTACGGACGCTACAAGGAAGAAGAAAGAGATGGACTGGCAGGGCAGATAGATTACACTCACACAACTTCGCAGTGGGCAGCAGTGACTACCCAGTTCTGGCTGATGAGAGAACCACCACAGAAGTGGAAGCCGTTGGTTTCCTAGGGTCAAAAGTCAGATATGTGAAACTATGGGTTTCAGTTACCCATAGGCATAAAGCATACAGGACCCTGACCCACCCCTAGCGTGTGTACCTGTAGAGACACCTGCCAGGGCCAGGAGCCTGGCACTGCATTCTGTCCATTGACAATCCTCTGGCTGTAGCTCAATGCAGGTGTGATGGCAGGAACACCACAGCCTGAACATAGGGCGGTGAGTATCCACATCCCAGCCTACCTCGCCCTCCCTTCTCGCTCAAGACCCCCAAGCTGTGTATTCCAGAGGGATCCGATCATGAGGATTTCTCACTAGCCCTTCTCCTGAGTGCCTTTTAGGCATACACAGCTATCTCGGTTACCCGATCTTACCAGCCTTCAAATCCTGTGCACATCACATCTACCAACCTAGTCCTGATATTCTCCAGGCCACCTTTCTCCCTGATTCCTGGGGTCATCTCCTTGGCCTTCTGTTAGTCCAGACCCGAGCAGTTAAAGTCTGCTTTGCATAGACTATACATATCTTTCATGTTTTCTCAGGTCTGACTTATTTGTGAGACTGGTCCCTCACTCCCAGCCCTGAAAGTTGTTTTGTTTTTGTATTTTTTTCCCTAAGTACATTAGTTTTCCTTTGCTTGTACTGTCCACTTTCCTTCTAGCCGGGCTGACTCCTTCTCTGGTCCCCTAAACAGGAGCTGGAAGCTAAGTTGCCTTAAGCTGATCAGTCAGGATCGGTCCCCAGCCCACTTACCCCAGGAGGAGCCAAGGAGGACCAGGCTAAGGGTTAGGCTGAGCAGTAACATTGTGGAAGATAATGAAGTTGAGAATGGCCTGGCTTTATTTATGGGTATCCTTGTCCTTGGGCAGAAGCCTTGGGCTTGAGACTAGGCCAGCTGTGTGGTCTTAGCACACTCCCACACCTGCCTAGGAGAGGTCTTCTTAGGCCGAAGTCCTTGGAATTATCAAGTATCCAGGTGTGAGGCTCCCACCTTGGGGAGGTGGCTCCCCAAGCCTTGCCTTCCTATTGGCTTTCTGAGCCACCTCCTACCCCAAGTGTTGGTCACTGGATACTAAGGACATATGGCTGAACTAGATGTAAAATACCAAACTGGTGGCTGGGAACTGTGAAGTTTCCCAGGGCTATCAGGAGTCCTGGACTCCCAGAGAAGCCAGCTCAGAACATACAGGTATTGTGACTGGTGCCTCTGCTGTGAAGACCAGGGATGGAGGTTCTGAATCTTAACAGACATCATCTCGGGTTTCTCATCAGTGTGGAACAGGAGCCAGAGGTTTGCCCAGAGAGGTGGGATGGGACCCAAACTCTCATGTGTCCGGTTCTAAGGCCTACATTACCATAAGTGTGAGTGAGCCCTCAGCGATGGAGACTCTGGACTGAAGTTGGAAGTATGAGAGTGGCAGCTGTGACCTCTGTTTCTAGACCCCAGACTGCCATGGGCAAGATCTGTCCACAGTGCATTTGTTATTGAACTCCAGGCTGAACTAAATCAATGGAGAGATGGGTGTCTCTGTGTGCAGACTTGCAACAGGTAAGTTGGCAAGAATCTTTCTAGAATATCAAAGGCTTTGACTGACTCAAGAATACCTCAGCCTAGGGGAGGGACTGGGAGGAGAAGAAGGAGGGGAAAGGCAGTCGGGATGTAAAATGAATAAATAAAGATTTTTTAAAAAAATTAATACACCAGTCTAAAGGGTGCAACAAGTGAACGGGTGAATAAAGGGGTGGATAGAAATAAGACCAAATCCAACAAAATATGAATTATAACCTGATGGACATATGGATGCTTAGTGAACTATTCCCTTAACTTTACTATTGCATATACATTTTTTTCATAATAAAATGTCAGGGAACACAAAGTCAGGGGCCAAAGATGTCCAGCCTGGAGAAGAACCTCTCTGGAGAATGTGGCTTATTCACTCTGAAGACCCAGTGGGGCTTAGCTACTTGAGAGCAGGATGTTCCTAGCAGCAACCCAGGGGCCCGGGCCCTCGGGCCCTAGGTGGATGCTTAGCAAAAGTTTCTTGTTACGTGTGTGTCACCTTTCCCCATGAGTTCATGACCCCTTTCAGCCCAGAGAGCTTGGAATCCATCTCTCTACTCACAGCCCCGCATGTGCAGACAAGGCCCAGCTTTTCACCAGCATCTCACACAGCCAGGTCGTTTGAGAGGTGCCATAAAGTTAGAGGCACTGTAGGTTGATGAGGGGTGCTTGGTGAGGACTTGCCACCCGGCCTTAGAGTCAGGAAACAGTTGCTCTATCAGCAGTTTAGCTCACTTGGATCCCAGGGTGGACCTGGTAGCAATAGGGAAGCACTGATAAGCCAGGGAACGGCAATAAATAGGGTCTGTCTATGGGGTCGTTCAAGATGGAGACTGGTGGAGTGTTGGGACCCTTCCCCAACCTCCTCGGTTATGGATGACCCTGGGTAGTGCTGCAGAAATCAGGACATAAGGGATGCAGAGTAAGAGACACAACTGCAAACTTTATTGCAAAGCCAGTGCTCTTTCTATAATACTCAAATCATGATTCAAACTAGGTTCCCATAATACTTGAAAATAGTTTCATAGACTAGTCACTTGGTTGCAACTAATTTCAAGAGCTCCATGCCCTAGCTAATCTAAACAAAAAGCTCGGTGTCATGGGAAAAACTCTTGTTGTAATATAATAATGTAAAAACACCTCATCAGAAGACAAACCACAACCTAATCAGAGCCTTTGAACCACAGTGCACATCTGTGTTCTCAAGGACTGACCATTGGCAAGGCACTCTACTGATGGGAGAGGCCTGCCTCCTCCTGACTTGGTTTGCCAAGCCAGTGAGAATGCTACCTCAAGTCACCCCTGCACAGAGTTTCTATGCAGTTCAAACTCGGCCCTCTACAGTGGAGTATGCTTCCACTGTGTGGAATTAGGCTTGGGGATGACAGGATGTAGCTTTCCACCTCAAAGCCTGCAGTGCTGACTAGAGCTGGAATTCTGGACCGACCGCTGAGATGGTGATGAAGGAACCAGGCCTGTGGTCCTTAGAAGCCCCAGACACAAAGCTCCTATGGCTCACTCCTCTCAAAAACGACAGAGTCTTTTTTATTTAAGTGTTTGTATTTCCCGGGTTTATTCCCCTTTGTTCCAAGCTCTAAGTCTTAGGCCACTTTATTCCACCTCCATGGCCTGCACGGTTTCCTCCAGAAGCTCCAGGTTCAGGGGCCTCACTTCCTGGGTCAGGACAGCTGTGGTTCCAGGAGCAAAGTGGTAACTGGAAGCTCTAGAAGAGAGGGGGGGGCAGCCTTTCAGCATGCAGCCTGTCCTGTTCTGGCAGTCCTCCCAGCCAGCGGTCCTCCCTTCCCCTGCTCCTACCTCTGCACGGGCTTTGTGGGTGAGCTCAGTGT